TAATATTTCAATTATGTGCGATTGCGAAGCGCTTTTATACCTTTTTCACTTTTCATCCAATTGCAAATTTACATAATACATTATATAGCGGAGGGCGGGGCATATTGAAACGAGCGATATCGCTCGTTTCATATTGATTTATTGATTGATTCATACATCAAATCATCTAACATCAATTTCATATGTATATATAACATACATAAACATACATACATACATACATACACACGCATACATACATACATACATACACATATGTATACATATGTAGGCAGAGTGGTAGACATACAAACATACACATACACACACGCACATAATAAATGTGACATGCACAGTACGAAAATAAGTAAATAATAGGGGAGAGGGGGGGACATTAATGGATGAATGACTATTGTGTGTCAACTAAAGTAGTAAACACAAGTAAGAGTAAAGTAAAAGTAAGTAGGTTATGAATTAATAATTGATATAGTGATAATATGAACAATGACACATGTGATAAGGATAAAGTTAGAAGTGATAAAGATCAGTCTGATATTTTTGTTTGATGAAATTTTTTTTTAATGAAATAAAGAAATTATATAATTCGTTCAAGCGTAAAATTAATTATTCCATAATGCTTCTGCAAAAAAGGAAAAAAAAAATGGATGAACGGATGGAATTATTGGTAAATAACAAATAATTGGGAAATAATCTTTATTAGAATAAAATATCAAAATTATCAGCAATCGAGAATTGATTTATCAATATTATCAGCAGTCGAGAATTAATCTATTAATATTATCAGCAATCGAGAATTGATTTATCAATATTATCAGCAGTCGAGAATTAATCTATTAATATTATCAGCAATCGAGAATTAATCTTTATTAGTCTTTCCAAGAATGAAATATTGATATCTTTAAGCAGCGAGAATTAATGTCTTTTTTCCCCTTTATACTAATTTTATAATAATTAATTTTCTTAAAAAAATTTTTCAAACAATTTGTGATAATGTTATCAATAAGTCTTTACCGCTTATTTTTTTTTTTTAAATTATTTTGCAACAAACAAATTTATGAAATTTTATAGATGAAATTTCTAGTGTCAGTTTTACCTCTTTGAAAGGAAACTTTTTTAATTTATTGAATTCAAATTTAGTATTTATGTATGAATTTTTATATATGAATTAAATTGTGGAAATCATAAGGAAAAGAAAAAAATACATTTGAGTTTTATTTTATTAAAAGTTACTAGATGAAATTTGTTAATGAATAATACAATTTTACATGGCTAATGCATGTATATATATATATACGATGTCAAAGGTCAAATCTGAATCTATTCTCTTAAATTTTATCAGAATTAAAATTTTTATTAAAGCATTATTGAGAAAAATTAGCTTTCTAACTAATTTTTTTCTTTTGAAATTTCCTATTGAAACTAAAAAATTGATTTTTCATAAACAATTAATTTTTCAAAATTTCTATAAAATCGTTTTTTTTGTTCTTTCACTTTTTATCTTTTATTATTTTCAGCTTTTTTTTTTATTTTTTGATTTTGATTTCAAATTTATTAGTTAATGAATGAATTTACCTTTTTTTTTTTTTTATTTGTGATATTTGATAATTCAGTATAATTTATTAGTGCTATCACATATGGAAATGTTAACAGAATGTACAATTTTCTACAAATATTTTTTTTTTAATTAATACTTTTTTAAAATTATATTTTAATCAATATTTTTAGCTGTGTTTAATTATTTTTTAGTTAACTAATATTTTTATAATTTAATGAAAATATTTCATCTAATAAAATTATTCTTTCATCATATTCAACATTTAAACAAACTTTTCACTTAAATTTTTTTTTAGAAACAAATTTCACCAACCAATTTATTGAATTTATTAATCATTTTTTTTTTCTACTAATAATAATTTGTCACCTGTCTGTCATATATTACCTTATATTAACAATAGCATTTGATTACTTATAATTTTTTCCAATTTAGTTTTTCAAAAATTTCAAAAAAAAAAAAATTAAAAAAAAGCTATTATATTACTAATATAATGATTCGATACTGATATTTTAAATCTAAAAATAATTGTACTAAAGTAATAGTAATCTGAATAATAATACAAACAAATTAATAAAGTAAAGTATGAATTGTCAAATGGAAGATTTGTTTGTTTTCTTCATTCAGAAGATATCATAAAATTTTCTTTTAATATTACTATTATTATTATTATTATTATTATTATTATTATTATTATTATTATTATTTCTTATTCAATTTATTAATTTCATTTTTATTTAATCTATTATTATTATTTGTTATTAATTATTATTTATTAATACTTAATTTTATTACTACTTTAGTATTATTTAATTTCTCTTTCTCTTTCTCTTTCTCTCTCTCTCTCTCTCATATCGAAAATAAAATATTTGAACAGGTTATTCAGAAAATTTCATTGTAATCAGGAAATCAAGTACTAGAACTTATACGAAAGTAAATAATATTTTTTTTTTTTTTTTTTAGCCAAAATAATTGATGAATTTTCGATATTAAAAGCATAGTAAATTGCTTTTATAAATTTTTTAATTATTAATCTTATTTCATTCAACATTAGTCCATAATATTTTGTTATTCTGAATTAAATTTCAAAATTATTTACTTATCAATGATATTGAATTTTGATGTGAAAAGTAAATTCTAATGAAAGATGATAAATTCAATAATTGATAATAACTGATAAAGCGATTATATATTTATTATTCTCAAATATATATATTTACTCAATTAATTGTATGTAAAAATTTATTAATCGAAAGATTAATCATACTTTTAAGTTAACAATTATTAATAGCACTGTTTTTTTTTTAAATTTTTTAAAATTAACTAAAATATTTATCGGAGAAATTTATAATTTTTATCAGTACTTTATCAATTCATAAATATATATGTGTACAATGAATTAATTAATGATAAATATTTGACTGTGACAATCAATCTACAGTAATCACTGTTAATCAGCAACAATGTCACATTGATTGGATATTCTTGAATGATTGAATAATAATTCAAAATATCAATCAATTTTTTTTTTTTTTGTTGTCAATTATTTTAATCAAATTTTTTTTTTTTTTTGTGTCAATTATTTTATTTATTACTAATAAATTTGTATATTTTTTAAAAAATTTTAAAAAAATTTAAATTTTCAAAGAAAATTCAAAAACAAAAAAATTTAAAAAAATTAAATAAAAATAAAAACATAAAACACACACACACACACTTCTTAATTACCCTTTGGCTTTTGTAATTATAACAAATAATAATGTTTAAATATTATCCTCTTTTTTCCGGATTTACTATAATTTTAATTATTACCGCATTCGGTTTGCTAATCCGGATAAATTCTGTAATTATAATTGATGTTCCTCGGTAGCAATTGCAACTCTTAAAAACTGCAAAACATTCCTAATTTTACCAAAATTTACAATGAATGAAAGCAGAAATTTGAACTAACTGAAAATGATGCAATGATTTTTTACATTTATTTGATAATTTACGGATCCGGTTAACCGGAAAGCATTCGTTAAAAAGGCACACGAAAGCATTTTGTCGATGGCTGAACGACTACGCCGGGACACCATAACAGCTACTGCACAACAACTAAATGGCATACAACAGCATGTAACCAACTAAAGCATTCATCCGCTTCATTTCTCGTGATCTCTCAGGAATTCCGGAATTTTTCATCCGGTCATATAGCCAGCAAAATAAGCTATCAAATGATATCCAATAGTGGTGTAATTTGAGAAGCTCAATCATAAGCATAGAATGTATTTTTGAATGCAATTGATAAACCACTAAGAAATGTTAAAATTAATTTCAAATTTCATTTCCAATTTTAATTTATCCATATTTAATTTCCACTAAAATTTGAAAGTAAATCTGAAGTTTCCAAAAAAATTTAATTTCTAATATTGAAATTTGCATTTAAGCTTATTATTTTGCATATAACTTATCATTGATCATATAATACTACTCATAAAATATGTAAATTTCTCTTCAACTTTTAACAATTTATGCAAATTTTTCACTTTCAGCGCTAATTATATCTTCTTTTACTTTCAAATGATATCATTCTGATAAGATATCAGTTGTTTTTGTTAAGATATCAGTTGTGATACGCGGTTTTGTGCGCTTTTTCCTTTCATCATTGTTCACATATATCAGTGGTTTTTTTTCTCAATATTTTGATAATTTTCAAATATTTCTTTTCTATTCAAATACAATTTATATGTAATTAATAAAAATAGAATACTGATTATTTCAAACTTTTTTTTTTTAAAGAAAAAATTAAATTCTGAAAAGTGAAATTTATGCTTTAAAAAAGCTGTATTAAATTATAAAATAATAAATTTTAAAATTAATTTTAAATAGTGTGTGAGAAAAAAAAATTTTTTTTTGTAAGCGAATATTATCGTAAAAAAATTAAAATTTTTGTTTAAATTAAATTTCTAATAATTTCTAACCAAAAATTTTTATTTTTTCATTTGTTCGTAACAAAAAAGTTTTCTTCTCTATTTTCTTCATTAAATAAAATTTATATTTTTCATTTCAAATTCAATTTATAGCAGTGATATTTTCATTAAAAGTAAGCAATAATTGAATTAAATTTTTCCAAGAAATACAATTCATATTTCAAAATTACAAATTTAATCTTTAAAATTTTAAAATTTATAAAAGAATCAAATTGATCGTATGATTAGCAATTATTTTACAATTGTGCTCCAATAAATGATAAATACAATAAATAATTTTTGAATAATTAAAATTTATTCAATTCATTTTTAAAATCATTAGATTAAAACTTATTTTTATTCATATAAAATTAATTAATAGTACTTTTTGTTTAATCATTTCTTTTTCATTTTTCTTTTCATTTTATTTGAAATTTTAAAATTTTTTATAACAATTTTTTGAAATAATAACGATTACTACAGGAATAGACCAGAAAATGACAGATGAACGCATTGCAAAACAAATGGAATCTGGCGGTAATGTAAGTGGTAATGAGCGCCGTGCGGAAATTGCTAACATCGAGAATGAAGTAGCAGCATTCATTCAACAGGGATGGCTTCTCATTCGAGAGTACAATGTTAAAATGTTAAAATATCTGAGATTGAAAATGACCTGTAATATACTGGTTGGTACCTTTTTATATTCTATTTATCTTTCTTTTCTTTTTTTTAATTTTTTTTAAAATATCCATATTATTGTTATAATTTTTGTTATTGAAAAAAAATTTAAATGCTTTTTTTTTTTTTACCAAAAATAAAATTTTTGTTTTCATTCAATAAATTCAATTAAATTCACTTCTGTTGGCTATTTTTGAAAGTTGTTTAAATTTTTATAATTTTAAAATTTAATTCAAACAACAAAAAAGAAGAAAAAAAAAGGGGAGTATTTTTGAAAAGAATAGATGAGTAAATTGTTAAAAACTTAAGAAAAAAAACGAATTAAATTTTAAATTAAATATTAATATATATCGATATTTAAATAAATAATTTTTGAATTTAGACGCAAAAAAAAGGCAATTCTTAAATTTTGCTATGTTACTGATTTAAAAATTTAAATATATGAAATGCAAATTTTTCATTCATATTTTTTTCTTCTTTTTTTTTTGCAGCATATAAAGCGTAGTAGGAAAGGAATGCAGTAAAAATACAAACGTGAAAGGAAAATAAATTGAAATGAACGAATTATAATTATTTGTGTTTAATAAAATTTTTGTATCAAAGTAATAAATTTTGAAAAATATTTAATTTATATTTGTGTTAAAAAAGAGAGACAATAAAAATTTTTTTCTTTTTAATGAAAATTAATATGCATTTGATATTATTACTAACTTAGTAGTAAAAATTGAATTAAAAAATCATAAATTAATTGTAAATGATAAAATGATATTAGTCAATAAAACAAAAATAAATTATTTACAGTTAATTGTTGTAGAATTATTTATGTTAAACAAAAATAAGAAGTAAAAGTCAGAAATTTAGGACGAAAATAATAAAATTTTAAGCTAGAAAAGAGAAAAAAATAGAAAACGAAATCAAAATTAGCAAAAAAAAAGGAAAAAAAGTTTTGGCATTATCAAATGAAAAACTTTCAAATAATTTTATACAAAATATTTATTACTTAGTAAAAAATGTTTGCAATATGCTATAGAAGAATTAATTTAATTTCATTTTTCTACATTTGTTTTTTAATCATTTCATAAATTATTATTATTATTATTATTTGTTTGTTTTTAACGGACTATTTTAAAAATGTTCATTTGATAAATGTTAAATTCTATTTTTATTATTTATATTTTACAAATTCATCCTAAATTTGCTTGCTCTACATTGCTGGAACTAGTTTAATTTTTAAATAAATTAAAAGTTTTCAATCCAACAGCAATTTTTTCAATACTTTTCTTATTAATTGCATTTGAAATGAATGTATTGAAATTGAAAATTATTTGATTAGTAAATTTATTAATTATATATATATGCAATAAGTGCTAGTGAAAAATTAAGGATGAATTTGAAATAATCGTAATATAAATCTAATAATATCAAAAAATAAATGATAATCAAAATTAGAAATATAATTGGATATAATCTGTAATGGATGAAAAGTACATTGAAATTGATTATTTTAAAGTTTAATTATCTCAACTAATTAGTAATATTAGAATTATCGAATAGTATTTACTGAAAGATCTCATTATTTCAAATAAAATCTCATTATTCTACTTCATCTGCTTGTCCATTATTATTATTATTACTATTATTATTATTATTATTATTATTATTATTATTATTATTATTATTATTATTATTATTATTATTATTGTTATTTTTATTATTATTATTATTATTATTATCTAAATATCTAAATTGCTATAATTATACAGCTTAAGATACGACAAATTGAGAAATGCATAATATGACAAATGGATCATTAATTAAAATCACATTTCATCAGAGAAAATTTCAAATTAAACATTTGAGACATTCAATAATGCGTTTTAAACTTTTGCACTAATCGTATAAAAATACTTTTGTATCTTAGCAATCAAATTGATACTCAAAGTATAGCGGTGAATTTGATTTAAAGAAATGGTTTAAAAGAAATTCAAATAAATTAATAGTAAAATAAAAGTTAAATTTTACCTTAAATAAATTGAAATTATTATTGGTATGAATGAATGATATTTTTGCATTTTTAAGTTTAAGTTTTTTAAAAAGTTAAGCCAAAGAAGTGAAATCAACTATTTGAGTACTATGAAGTTGAAATAACTAATCAATTAAATGATATCATTAATCAATCCAAATATTTTTAATAAAGTAAGTAATAATAATTTTGTGATTTCCTATGATTATAGCAGCAAGAAATTATGCCTGAATTATTTATTATTAATATTATTATTATTGTTATTACCATTAATATTATTATTATTATTATTATTTTTGTCGTTATTGTTTTTTTTGATATTATTATTGTAATTACTATTACTATTAATTATTAATTACTTTTGTTATTAAATTTTATTGTTGTTATACTTACTATTATGCTTGCCATTACTGCTAGCTTATAACACCAACAACCTGTCTTTTTAGCTTTCGAGAATCACTAAATTATATTCGAGAATTTTTGGATAACAAGCTAATTACTTGTTATGCTTGTAACTACTCCAACAGTTTTTTTTGCAGAGTATAAATGATGAATGAAATTTAATGCACAAATCGAAATAAATTAATTTGCAGCATAAATTTTAAGATATCAGTAAAACAAATTCTAAGAATGTTATTTTAATTTCAAAAAATGAAATTGCTTAATATAGCATTTTCAAGATAGAAATTTTGTAAATGTTAAACTTTCTTAATTTCTGATCATCTTCTGGTTGAAAAAATGCTATACAACTATTTGTGTACTATAAATTACTTATATTATAATTAAACTAAATAAAACACTTAAATTGAAATTAAATTAAATTAAGTTAAACAAAAAATTATTGAAAGTTGACGGAAAAAAAAATGAAACGAAGAAATTGGTAGTATTTATTGAATGTTAAAATATCTTTTAACATAAATAAAAATGAAATGGCAAGTAGGAAAGATGATTGTGAGGAAATGTTTTTTTAAACAAATTTAAATAAAAAAAAAAAAATCGTTGAAAATAACTTACAATAACTAACAATCACAGATTATTAATTTATTAGATGATTAGATAATTTCTTGAAATTCTTTTGCAATTAATAAAAGATTTCAAAAAACATAAATGTATGATCAGCAAAGATATTATTAATAATTAATGAGAAATTAGTTTTTATTTTTTGCTTATTCTTTTAAAGATATAACAAAGAAAAATTATTGTTTATATTACCGATTAGACTGAATAAATAATAAACAAAATAAATTTGTAGAGGAATATTTAAATGTTTCAACCTTCAACTTGAAATTTGTATGATATTTCAACTTGATGGCTTCTGACAATAAAATGCAGAATATAAATGAAAAGAATTACTGATAATAATTGATAAACCATAAAAGTTTGAAAATTTTAAAAATTAATTAATAGTAATTAAAATGAAATAAGATTAAGAAAAAACCCGTGGTGAAATGTGGCAGAGAGAGAGAGAGAGAGAGAGAGAGCGTTGGGAGGAGTATACAAGTAATATTGGTGCTGTAATTACAACAATAGCATATTAAATTATATTAAAGTGATAATATATGATAATTATATTTACATATATATTTGTAAACAAAAAAAAAAAAAAGTGATTGCTAAAAAGGCTTAAAATATAAAGCCTAAGGCAACCGAATATATTTAAAAAAAAACGAAATAATTAAAAGTTGGAATATTTAGAAAGATACTACTAATTCAAATAAAATTTTGCACTCATTAAATTTTTTTTTTTTTTTTTTGTTTGCTTTTCTTAAACTAAAATTATATATTCCGAAAAAAAAAATGTGCATCAGATGAGAATAAACAAAATAAATTTTTAGATTAAAAACTGGAATAAGTTATAACAAAGAAAGGAATGCATATATTGATATACACCGGAAAAACTTGATATTAACATCCAGTTTTCCGAAAAATATAAGGTAAACAAAAAAAAAAATACACATACATAAATATACATACACATACAACATTGATAAGGTTTGATAAGGTAAAAAAAAAAATTCGAATTATTTAAGCATATATTTTTGCAATTTATTGAATAAATAAATATTACACTTGCAAAATTTGAATTATCAATTGATAAATACAATAAATCAGTGATAATTAATAATACAAAAAGAAATAAATGAATTCATTATTTATGAGCAAAATGACAAATGTATTTATGGACAGATTATGTTAAACAATTACAAATATTATAAAAATAATGAATTTATCATTTATAAAATTTAGAATAATAAAAGACATTAAATGATATAATTTTCAAAAATGTTTTATTTGTTTATTTGTTTGTTTGTTTGTTTTGCAATAAAATTACGCCTTATGAACAAGCATTTCTTGCTGTGTACTAGCATTATTAGCTTGAATTCGAATTAATGCTTCTAATGGATCAAATTGTGAATTATTTGTTTGATTTGATAATGATTCTTTGATCGGTGACAATCGCTGTAAAACTTGTTCAGCAGTTGGTCCTTCTAACCAAGGCCATTGCTCACAAACAAAATCAGTTGGATCCTCAAAACTACCACATCGTCCAAGTACTTTTACACCTATAAAAAAAAATTTTTTTAAAAAAAAAAGAAAAAAAAAATTAAGCAATAAATATTTGAGAAAAAAGAAAAAGAATTAAACTTAGATAGCATTTATTTTCATATTAAATCTATTAATTTCAAGCTTATTATAAAAATTTTGATTTAAATAATTTTTTATTATTATCTGAAAAAGAAAAAAAAAATGTAAACAAATATGATGAAACAAAAAAACAATTTGATTATTTCAAAAATTTTCAAATACAACAAAATAGCTATTATGTTAGATTGATATTAAGCATTCCTATTTGGATTAAAATAGTCCTTAAACTATAAAAATTTAATGTTAAATTTTTAGCTATAAAAATGTTAAATTTTAATTTCTAATTCAAAAATTTTAATTGCTAAATTTAATTGTAAAAATTTAATGTTAAATTTAAAATTTAATTTAATTGTATCAAAAAAAGAAGTGATAAAGATCAGATAATGATAACAACCTTCTTTAGCTACTTTAATCATATATGGAATTATCATTTGATTCCATAATTTGATAAACCATTCGCGTGATTGCATAACATTTAATGGACATTGAAGGAATAAACGTGGTCCTATTGTTACATCTCGAGAATTTGCTTTCTCGATAAACTATAATTCATTATTTGTACAAAAGTTTTATGATAATTTGCAAGTATAAATTTTTTAGCATAAATAAATAACATTTTAAGTAACAATTATTACCTATCGATACTTATTTTGTACTATTTTTAATTAAAAATTTAAATATTTCGAATATTTTTAAATTATTAAGTAAGAAGTTTTCGCAGTTGAAATAATTCAACAATTCAAAAAATATACTCATAAATTAAATGATTTTTTAAAAATAATTTTGAAATAAATCAAAATATGACTTATAAATTAAATATTATTATTATTATTAATTTTACTTACTGCATTCACC